GGTGGCCGAGGAGCTGGTGCGGGCGCTGAGCCGCGCGGATGAGGCGCTGGCCGTGCCTGCTGCTGCCCCGACAGCGCCCGGCACCTTCCAGCGCTCCGCCAAGGTGAGGAGCGGGCAGCGCTGGGGGGTCCCCGTGGCTCGGGGTGCGCGCTGAGCGCGGGCCCTCGTGTCGCGCAGGCGGCGTGGCGGCTGCCCGGGCGCTACGTGGTGGTGCTGCGGGCTGGCAGCGGCGCGGCGCAGCTGGACGGCACCGTGCGGCGGCTGCAGGCCCGCGCCGCCCGCCGCGGCTACCTCACCGAGGTGCTGCACGTCTTCCGCCACCTGCTCCCCGCCTTCGTGGTGAAGATGAGCAGCGACGTGCTGGACACGGTACGGGGCCGGGCTGGACACGGGCACGGGCGGCAGCAGCTGGGGCAGCTTTGGGGTGGCAGTCCCAGCCACTGCRAGCACTGAGTGTGGCCATCAAGACCCGCTGGCAACAGGAGCTTTTCCACTTGCAGAAAAGCCTTCCAACTTCTTGGTGGTTTTTTCTTTTGCCCTGTTTCCAAAGCTGCATGTTTCGGGACGCAGTTCAGTCTTCCCGGCAGGGAAAGAAGAAATTTTCCCCATGGGTTATTGCACAACTACTTGCATGTGGTTTTCTGTTTGTTTAGTTGTTTGTTTATTTGTTTAACCCCCTCCCAAGTGAGATCCCCTGGCCTCTGGTCAGAAAARCGTCAGGGGGCCAGGAAGCCCGGGGTTCCCTTGGTGTGAGCAGCTACAGGGTGGCAAAATCCCCTGGGAGATGTGGATTTGGCCCCAGGCTTGTCTGTTTGCTGTGARCAACAGCCCATGGATGTGCCTTGGCCGAGCCCCGCGCTGGGAAGATGCAGGGAATGCTGCGGGAGGCAGCTGGTGGCAGGAACTCCGTCGAGCCGTGGCACGGGCGTCCCCAGCACTGCGGGGACACGCGGCAGGTGTTGGTCTCCCCACAGGCGCTGAAGCTGCCACACGTGGAGTACGTTGAGGAGGACTCGTACGTGTTTGCCCAGAGCATCCCCTGGAACCTGGGCAGGATTGTGCCGGCGCCGGCTGAGGCCGGCGCCTACAGCCCTCCCAGTAAGTGTGGGAATGGGCGGGATGTGCACTGAGCCCCTCTGCAGACCATGGGGAGATGGAGCAATGTCCTCTTCAGTGTGGGATGGCCATGGCAGGGAGATGGCGGGGAGAAGATTGTTTGGGAGTGACCACAGTCCCGACTGCCTTTCCTGCTGATGGCACCTCTGGCAGATAAGGGGGAGCTGGTGGAGATCTACCTRCTGGACACGGGCGTGCAGAGCACCCACCGGGAGATCGAGGGCAGGGTGCTGGTGACCGACTTCGAGAGCATCCCCGAGGAGGACGGCACCCGTTTCCACCGGCAGGTGCGAACAGGTCCTGCTTTCTCTGCCTGCCCCTCACACCAGCTTTCCTTGCCTGCCCTTCTCCCCATGACATTATGTGAGGAGACAGGGCGTCCGAGTGTGCCTCCGTCCACCAGGCCAGCAAGTGTGACAGCCACGGCACCCACATGGCCGGGGTGGTGAGCGGGCGCGACGCCGGCGTGGCCAAGGGCGCCAACGTCCGCAGCCTCCGGGTGCTCAACTGCCAGGGCAAGGGCACCGTCAGCGGGGCCCTCCTCGGTGAGCCGCGATGCCGTGAAGAGACGCCACCCTGTCCCAATGGGGTTCCTCCTGATGCTCCTCTGTCTCTCGGCAGGCCTGGAGTTCATCAACGCCTCGCTGGAGGCCCGGCCGTCTGTGCCGCCCGTCGCCCTGCTGCCCTTTGCTGGYGCCTACAGCCGCGTCCTCAACGCCGGCTGCCGGCGCCTGGCCGAGGCTGGGCTCGTGCTCATCGCCGCCGCTGGCAACTACAAGGATGACGCCTGCCTCTACTCGCCGGCATCGGAGCCGGAGGTGCGGGAGTCGAGGCCAGGGACTGCTGCCCTTCTGCAGGGCTCTTCCAGCCTCTGCCGGCTGCAGAAATGGGTGGCAGGTGCCACTCAGGGCACAGGCAGAGGTGCCGGTCCCTGCCACGTCCCCCTGGCCTCGTGCGCATGATGCTGTCACCACAGGTGATCACGGTGGGCGCGACCAACAGCCAGGACCAGCCGGTCTCCATGGGCTCCCTGGGCACCAACTTCGGCCGCTGCGTGGACGTCTTCGCCCCAGGCGACGACATCATYGGCGCCTCCAGCGACTGCAGCACCTGCTTCACCTCGCAGAGCGGCACCTCGCAGGCGGCCGCCCACGTGGCAGGCGAGCGGGGTGGCCCGCGCGATCGGGTGGGATCTGGGGCTGGGCGTGCGGCTGCACTCATGGCATGGAGGCCGCGCTCATGGCCTGGTGGCCATGCTTATGACATGGTGGCCATGCTCACAACATGGTGGCTGCACTCATGACATGGCAGCCACGCTCATGACATGACGACTGTGCTCATGACATGGCGGTCACGCTCACGGCATGATGACTGTGCTCATAACATAGCTACTGCACTCAGGACATGGCGGCCGTGCTCATGACATGGTGGCCACGCTCACAACATGGTGGCCACCCTCATGACATGGCGGCCGCGCTCACAGCATGGTGCCCGTGCCGCCTGCAGGCATCACCGCCGTGGTGCTGAGCGCCGCGCCAGCGCTGAGCCCGGCYGAGCTGCGCCAGCGCCTGCTGCGCTTCGCCGCCAAGGCCGCGGTGGATGCGGCAGCGCTGCCGGCCGAGCAGCGGCTCCTCACGCCCGCCGCCGTGGCCCGCCTGCCGCCAGCGCCGCTGCCAGGTGAGGCGCCCGACGGGGCTGCGCCGGGGCTGTCCTGCTCAGCGTGGGCGTCGCGAGCCACGTGGCGCTCTGACAGCCATGCCGCTGCAGAGGAGCGCCTGTCCTGCCGCTCCGTGTGGTCGGCGCGCTCCGGCGGCTCCCGGCACRCTGCTGCCCGCTGCGCCCACCACGAGGAGATGTTCAGCTGCTCCAGCCTGGCCGCCGCCGGTGGCCGCCGCCTGGGTGAGCGCGTCGAGGTGAGGAGCACCGCGGCCGAGCCGACCGGCACTGCCGGCCCCTTCGCCCCGTTTGTCCCCAGCGCTCGCTCTCCCTGCCAGGAGAAGGACGGCGTGAAGGAGTGCGTGGCCCGCAGCGCCTTTGGTGGCGGGGACGTCTATGCCGTGGCCAGGTGCTGCACTCGGCCCCCGGGCGGCTGCYGGGTCCACGCCAGCCACGGGGAGGCGGTGGGGTGCTCCACGCAGGACCACGTGCTCACTGGTAGGCTGAACACCACGGCCGCAGTACCCTGCCATGGGGTAGAGTTCCCGCGTGCCGAGATCCCCATCATCACAGAGCCTCTTCYGGAAAAACTCCCTCCTGAAAGAGCCTTAGGATTGAGCGCGACCTGATGGGCAGCAGGGTACTGGGTTRGGATGGGCAGCAGGGGCTGGGGCTTGGTGGGGATGTCCTGGCTTGGTGGGACCTTTGCRAATGGAGAAGGGCCAGTTCCCGGTGCTGCTGTCCCTGTTTTCTACTGTCTCATTTTGAGAGGTGAACACTGCTATGAATGACCTGGGTTGCTAAAAATGTGCTGGCGTTAACTCTGAAACCTACTGATCTTCACTATGAATATCAGATCAGCACTAGACTAGCATTTCTCCCCAGAGCACCAGGGCTCAGCGCTGGCTCCTGCAGAAGAGTCCATGCCTATGTGCCCTCCTCTGACCCGCTCTCCCCTTGGCAGGCTGCAGCTTCCACTCGGGCACCGCGGCAGCGTTGGATGATGGCGGCCGCCCCGTCCCAGGAACAGGCAACAGGACCCACCGCTGCGCTGGAGGGACGGCCACCACCACCACACACGCGTTGTGCTGCCCTGCCGCCRGCCTCGAGTGCCGCGTGAAGGAGCAGGCGCCGCTGGGCTCTGCAGACAAGGTAGGGGCGGACGGGCAGCCCGAGCACTGGCAGCCCCAGCGCTGCTTCAACCAGCCGCCGAGCCCAGCGTCCTCCCCACCACCAGGTGACGGTGTCCTGCGACGAGGGCTGGACGCTGACGGGCTGCAACGCTCACGCGGCAGGTGCTGCTGTGCTGGGCGCCTATGCCGTGGACGACACCTGCGTGGCGGCCGGCGGCCCCGGCGCCCGAGCGCCCGCGGCCGTGGCCGTCTGCTGCCGGAGCYGGCGCTAGGGCAGCCGCTCGTGGCGGCATCGCAGCCGCGGCTGCGGGGATGCCGCGATGGAGAGGCTGCTGCAGGAGGCAATGTCCACGCGGGCAACACGGGCCACGTGCAGCGCAGCGGCACCGTGGCGCTCTTCCCTGCCCGGCTGCTCCCCGCAGTGCAGCCCGCCCAGCTTAGCGCTAGCTGCAGTTGGGTTGTTTGGGGAGGCCTCCAAGTCTCCCGGCCATGTCCCCAAGAGGCTCCTTTTTAGCCAAGTGTAGGGTCCTCAGTTTAAAGAGCTTGCTGCTTTGAGTTTTAATCTGCATTGTGCTGGCATGAGCTGCTGCTTTGTGAGTAGGGCTGTGGTGGTGGTGGTGTTTAAGTGCAAAGTTAAGTGCGACGTCTGCTGGTGCTATACATTGCTGCCATGGTTCCCTCAGGGCTTCCCCGTAATTTCTTTTTCATTTTCTCTTGTTTTCCCAAAGGAAGAAAAGGAAAAACTTTCATGATACATACTTTTTTTTTTACATTTGTATCCTAAGTATTTATTTGGACTTTTATAAATAAACATTTTATAAGTGTCTTTTTCAAATAAAGTTCATAGACCGGTGCTCAGTAGACCCGATCCTTGATCTGGCTTAATGTGCGTGTGAGTGGCCTTCACTGCTGGTGCTCTGGCGGGGAGAAGCGATGGGCAGCACGCAAAGCTCCAGGAGACACTTCAGAAGCTTCGGGGAGCAGCAGCCCAAGCCAGGAACAGCCCGAGCTGTCCAAGTCGGCTCTCACCCTTCTCYCTTTTACGGGGCCTCTCCTGCTATCACCACATGCAGCTTATGGGGTGTTGTGTGAGGACAGGTGAGGAAACCAAGCCTGATATCCTGTCTGGCAGCCAGGCTTTGCCTTTTTTGTGCCTGGGCGTTAGGCTGTAACTTACCACAACACTCATTGGGTATTTCTTGCTGCTGCCCTCCTGGTGGGGGAGAAGATCCTGCCGTCCGCTGCACCGCGGGCTGCAGCAGAAGGTGGCATGTGCGCTGTGCCGCACGCCCCGCACTGGGGCTGCTCTCCGTGCAGCGGGAAGGCACATCCACTGCCTGCTCCGTGCAGCGGGAAGGCAGATTCACCTCCCACTCCATGTAGCGGGAAGGCAGATCCATTTCCTGCTCCGTGCAGCAGGAAGGCAGATCCAGCACCTGCTCCAGTAGATCCAGTGCCTGCGCCCAGCTCAGCTCTGTGGGGCAGAGGGAAATGGCGCCACAGCAAGATGAGCCCTCGCTCGCTGCCTCATGCGCTGGGTGCAGGGTCAGCAGAACAACCATTCGTGCTTGCGCTGGAGCCCAGTTTAAAAATGGCAAGGTACACCTGGAGCACCTTGCTCCCTTTGCTCCTGCACAGGAACTCCTGTGGAAGGAACAGGAGCCGACYGCTTTCCGCTCCACTACGGATCTGAGCAAAACCCTGAGGCCAAATACTGCTAGTCAAGGGGAAGGCAGGAGAAGGGCCTCACACGCTCCCGCGCTTCGCTGCACTTACCCGAACGGCCGCGACCTGCCCGAGCATCAGCACAGGGACGGGCCACCGGCCTGACTGTGAACAGCACTGCCCAGGACAGCAGAGCTATTGCAGAGCACCCTGCCTGTGCTACCRTGGTGCCACTAGCGGGAAAGTGGCTGCTGCTGCACGTCTCTCGCGCGGACAGCGATGTGAGCGCGAGGCTGAGCCCCGCGGCCTCGAGTTCCCATGCATTCTGCTACCTGATGCACAAAAGCCGTCCTGATCCTCGGCTGCAAGCACAGCCAGCAGCACCAGAGTGCGAGGACGGGCAGGAGAAAGCGGGTRCAGATCGGGATCTGAGAGAACGCAGGAGCGGGGCTCAGTGCGGGAAGGCAGCAGGGCGCTCCCCGAGGGCGCCCAGCGTGCTGGGTTTGCCCTGGATGGCCGCCCCGCGCGAGCAGGGCAACCTCGCCGCGCTCCTTATCTAAAGGTCGGGCCTGCGAGGCCTCAAGATAAGAGGATCAACATGACACAGCCCAGGCACAAGCTAAAGATTACGCTAGTTTTCTGTGAAAGGAATAACTTTATTCCATTGACCAGGAATCCCAAGACTGTTCATCAAGACTGCCTATTTTTCCAGTGCCGAATGTCTGTGTAGGAATTGGACAGTATCTTCCCAGAGGCTCACAGGCAGGCTGTGGTTGCTCCTCACCGAACATTTTGTAAGCTGTATAAAAACATTTTCATCCAAAARGATTGGCAGTAAAAATTACAACATAGAAATGCATCACGATTTACACAAAAACTAGTTTTGTTGAACTCTATTTTCCAAAAAATAATCTTCAGCAGGTTCAAATGACAGCAGCTGGAAACCAAAAATAATTGACCAAGTTATCATCTTATTGCAAATTATAACCACCGACTTTGTACAAGCATGAGCAGAACTACGAAAAAGTTTGTATTGGTTTCAAGTATACAGTGGTGATGAGCCATCCCGACGCAGCTCTCCCATCAATGCTTCTTTGGGCCTGCAGGAATTGAGGATGTTGTTTCCATAGGAAATAACAGGAACCTGAAGTGACAATTGGTGCCAACCCATAAGAACATTGCCAACTCCTTCCATCACCATCGCCGCTGTATACCCGCTACTCGKGATGATTTATGACCCATTACAAAGTACTCGGGGGTAGCTGGTGGGGAGGGGAAACGGTAGAGGGAGAATCCTTAAGAAATGATTTTTCCAAAATTAATTGAAAACAATCGCATTTAAAATGTCCCAGCACATTATCAGAAACATTTATAAAATGCTAATTCTGCCATGTGTTTACAAAGACATTATTTGGAGGAAAAGAAAAGAAAAAGTGAGATTCACKACAGGGCCACCCTTTCTTCACATGTGCAATTCATGACAACAGTTCTCTTAACCTGCAATAAGTTACAAAGCTGTACAGCTGAAATCAGACCAGATGTTTCCTTCYGACAGTGAAATGACTGCTGAATTTCAATATTGGTGCACAACAGTGAAAACCCGGCTGCCACTTCATGTTTCGGCAACAGTGTGTAAAAAGAAGGAAAAAAAAAGGCACTTTTTTGGCTGTTTGTGCCTTTAAGTTGGCAAATTTCTCTATTCTGGAGGTACCCAGGCACTCCTAAAGATCTCCCCCCTTTCCGTGCATGTTTATTTATATAATTTTTAAAGTAAGGCAGAATCCATAAATAAAGGCAAAAGCAGTGCAGAAAATGTGACAAACGCAAAATGTACAAAATATGACGAGTTAGTTGGCACAAAAGAAGCTAGTGTCCGAACCCAGAAATGCATCTGACACAGAAGACAAAATTGCTCAAATCGTCCCAACTGGTTTCCAGTTGTTCGTGAGCAAATCAAGAGAGCTGTGGTATTTTAAATGTTGCCTGGTCAAGTGAAAATACAAAGCCAAATCTTTCTTTCCCCGTGTTAAAATTGCTCTAAAATCTGCACAACAGTGTCCCCAACTCACTCAAGGAATTATTCATCATATACAACCAATACCAACTTTCTCAGTAATTTCAAAGCATTAAGCAAGTGATTGCAGATCACATGATTGAGACTACATCTTATTCAATATGTCTCCAAAGATTAAAAAAATTTAATGAATAAAACAGCAACAGAATTCCATGGTAAAGTGCTTCTTTCTTTTAAACTACTCATTAGCTTTTTTTTTTTTTTTTTTTTGAAATCCACCAACATCCTTTCACAAACACCTGCATACCTAAAAGTAAAACTTTTCTTTTATTGCTCTTGCCAATTTTTGGTGGTTTTCAGAAGGTTACCAGAGAAGATGACCTATTCCAGAATTCCTTGACCAAACCATTTTTTAAGGAGTTACTGTCCTTACAGAGCAAGCTACCAAACCTTCTCACAAAGAGCTTTACAGATTAGCAGGGAGACATATTAAATACAGAAGTCTTTATGTAAACTGATTCTTTAACTAATATTTTACAATGAAATGTAAGTCATCACACATCTTTACAGAAATTTGAATATTCCTATTCAGTATTATCAGAAAGATTAAAAATTTGCCCTCCATACGTAAGGGCAATCTGTTTTTTTTTTTTTTTTTCCTGTATAAAAACCAAAAGAATTTTTTTGCAGCATCACAGAAAAGCAACAGTTTTACATTCACTCATTTAATGTTCACATAAAAATTCAACCACTAGCGCTTGTGTACTTGATAAAATCTTCTTGACAAACTTTTCAGTGTCTGGACTGTCATAAGCATGCTGCAGATGAAGACGCAGTTTTCTAGAACATTTATTCATCTGAAGCCTTCATGGCAGAAGAATGCTGTTAGTTTTCAGGGAAAAATTTTCCTCCAGCAATTTTATAAAGCCATTTCTCTTCCAGACTCTTCTCATGGCATAAGCAATGGGACTCCAGTTGCACAAAGTACCAGGCATTAAATATTTGAGTTGATCTGCTCTTGTGTTCTTAGGTATCCTTTATGGGTCAACATCATCAAGGTCACTTTTAGGCTCACCAATCATCATGGGAGACTCTGAACCCTTTCAAAATACACAAGAGATGGGGAAAAAAAATAAAAAAGATAGTGCACATTATTTACTTATACAGCACACACCTATTATGCACGTTCAGTGATAATTCTGATCCTAGGACCAGGATTACGTTGTCCAGACAGTCAGATAGTAGAAAATAAACTCTTATTGTTACCTGCTGCAGATGTCTCTCTCCGTTCTCGTTGGCCGGACTACTTTCTGACCCATTACTGCTTCCAGACTGATCTTTCTCATTCAGCAGGGCTGTGGCATAGGCCAGTGTGTCCTRTGTTGGAAATACATTGTTCAAGAGATCCCATCAGTAGCCACGATGATACCTTTATTTAATAACTATTTGTTTTGAAGTTGATTCTAAAACTATATAACTATACTATAAGATAGCTTAGTGACCACAGGTAGTTGCTAGGTACTAAAATTTAAGGGTTAGTTTTTCAAAAACAGCCATGGATCCAGACTCGGAAGGGGGAAATGGCCTTAAGCA